TGAGCGTGTGTAAGGAAAAATAAAAAATTACATTTCACTGGTTGACGTTTATAAGTAAATTTGAAGTTTAATTTTATTTATTTATTTTCTTTAGTTAAAATTTGTTAATTTGTTTGGTGTTTTCTGTCTTTGATTTATAAGTTGCAGTGTTGTTGGAGGGACTTTCCGGCATAAGAGTCATAGTAACAGAACTTGGCATCAAACGTGCCTTTCCTGTACCTCCCGGTGCATTTATAAAATCTGCTGCTTTAAAATGTTTAACGCACAGCAAGGCATTTCGCTGCAGCTCTGCCCCACAGCAGCTTTCGCAACGCTCCTTATGCGAAGGACATTGAGGCACGTTAAAAAAATTAGTGGTATTTGATTTATATTTAACCGCACATAAAAACAACGCTTCAGGTGTTGCATTTTTAACACATACACTAAGTATAAACCGCACAACACTACAAAAATTCAAATGTTAATTAAAATTTGTTTTTAACGAACATTCAAAAAAAACAAACGACATGACATTTAAAGCGTAACGAAATATAGGAAATAAAAGAAAACCAAGTTGAAGTTTAAAGGTTTGGTTCTCATGAGAGCAACGTCACTTTGGCTTCTACCTGTATTTATGTGCCTTGATTAGTGCTCAGTAAGTTTGAAAAAAAACGATCTCTGGGGGCAGATTCTGTAACCAGTTAGCGACAATTTTCGAATCGGCTACGGTTTTGTTGACGTATGATATGAAATATTCTTACGCCAACAAGTGCGATATCGATCCGAAACTTGTCGCTAACTGGTTACAGAATCTCCCCCCTGGTTACGGTTCAAACATCAGCCAGGGGAATGGATAACATTGGATTGTATCCAAATGGCAAATTTTTTGTTACTGATGATTTGCGCATGTTTATGTATACGTTTAAATACATAGTATGTACATTTTTTTATTGCTATTCTACCTCCCTACAAGACATTGCTGAGCACTTTAGGCAAAAATTCTCACACATTTACACTTTTGTTTTTGTAGTACGGCATAAATGAGTAGTTTGACTATTAGTACTGAGGACTTTCTGATGACAACATTGAGGGGAAAGTACTCAATTTTTACCCATGGCCTGAACGAAAATGAGGACTTTGATAAGCACTTTTGTGATTAGGGATAATGATAATATGAGTACTCATATGATACTCAGCTGTCTTGTAGGGCTATTTCTCCCCAACATAAACATACATATCAAACGTAGCCGCGAATAACATTGGAAAACTCCCGCTTCGGATATGGGCAGTTTGTAGTAAGCGTTAACGAAAATAGCGACACGGGATTTTGAAGAACGTTGCGAGGAGCATAGAAAAAATGTCGATGAAAAAAATATATTTTTTTTCTCGGGTTCAAAACTATCATATCTTTTAACCAACAATACACAACCAAAAAAATCATTGAAATCGGCTAAGCGGTTTCGGAGACTAGCGTAAACGAACAAAGTGACACGGGTTTTTTATATATCAAGATAAGCACGTTGCGAGGAGCCTAGAAAAAATGTCTATGAAAAAAAAATATACATTTTTTCTCAGGTTCAAAGCTATCCTATCTTTTAAGCTGGAACCAACAATACGCACCCACAAAATTTCATTGAAATCGGTTAAACTGTTTCGGTGATTAGCGTAAACGAACACAGTGACACGGGATTTTTATATATTAAGATTGATTGAAAATTAGAAAACAAAAAATTAACTAAATTTTGCCGCAGCTGCTGCTATTAAATGCATGTTGGAATGTGTATATGCACGTAAGTAAGTATGTATGTATGTTGTTTGAAAGAAATTTTTTCTGAATGCCTTTGAAAATATAGTGCGTTCAATAAGACTCAAAGAACCCAAAATAAGAGTCCGAATATAGTAATTTATGAGACCGATAAGAGCCTCAAAAAGAGTCTGAAATTATTCAAAATTGTTTTAAAAGAGTCCAAAATGAGCCGTTTATGAGGCCAATAAAAGTCCAATATGACTCATATTGAAGCTTACTTGTTGCATGAATTTAATGGCCCTATTATGTATGGCGACTGATAGCCGATGGGCAACCATAGACTGAAATTCACATTACGTATGGCAACTCGCTACTGACTGTTGGCTACTGGCTCGGCTACTGGCAAGGCTACTGAGTCTGGTAGCGCAATTTTCTGTATTATGTATGGCTGCCATCTCTTTTTATAGTATACACAAACGTCAAATTGAAGCAACTGATCACCATCAGTCGCCATTGTTATATTTTGCGAATTTTGGAGGAGAAAGCTGAAACAAATTGTGATCATGGCAGAAAAATTGTAATAATATGTAAATTCTATTTATATTGGTATATAATTAACAGTTTGATATTTCTCCAGGCCAGTGAAAATTACTAATAGCAAGCAATTTGAGCGTTTGGTGCATTTAATGCAATCCAACCCAGGAATTGCAAGAGGAACACGGACATTTGGACAAAACAAAATCCAAAACGACGAACAATGGGACGCTTTTGCTACCGAAATAAATAGTTTCGGCCCTCCAAATAGGTCTGGAAAAGAGTGACAGCGGGTAATAATTTTTACTATAATATATGTACATACTGCAATAAGCATTTTCATGTACATATGTATACATACATTTGTGTAGGTATGGATTAACTACAAGGCCAAAACCAAGAAGAAAATTAGTGCAAATAACCGAATTATAAGAACGACTGGTGGAGGCCCATCAGAGGAGCAAACGTTATCTGCACTCGAGCAAGTGGTAGCAGATATTTTACACACAGACGTAAGTGTAAATCCACCCGACAATGTGTTTGGTATTGTGGAAATGGACGAAGACGAACAAAACGTAGAGCCGTCATGCAGTTCTTCGCCAAATATTTCGATAACTGTTCCAAAAAAAAGGCAAAAAAAAAATATTGAAGAAATGAAAGTGGACATGTTAAAGTCGCAAACTTTAAATAACTCGGATATAGCATAAAATTAAAAAAAAATAGAAAAAAATACTTACAAAATGAGCAAATATGCTGAAAAAAATCATGATTTAAAAAAATAAAAATTTGAACTATTAAAAGAAAATATGAATTTAGAGGCGGAACTTAAACGAAAGAAAATTCAACTTATCGAATACCAATTAAACAATATTTAATTTTAAAGATTCAATCAGGCAGGTTCTGCAATTCACTTCCGAGTGAATTTCAATCCCTGCCAATTTGAATTCAACGCGAATTCGACTCAAATTCACTCGGAAGTGAATTACAGAACCTGCCTGTATATTTAAGAGTTTTGTTTGGGCGGATTATAAATCGCACCAAGTTACCTAAGGACTGAAGAACTGAACAAGAATTTATGATGGCAGTTGCTTTCTGTGGAGCATAGTGAAGTCCGCGCGCAGAAGATAGGCATCTGAATTTTGATTTCAAAACGCCAAAAGTCTACTATTATTCCATATGAAGGCATCATGTGTGGCTCCTGGATATCTGGCATCGACATACGTTATGTTCATATTGAAATCGCAAACCTAGGTAATAAGGAATTTGTGTGTATCCAAGATAAATATGCGGAAACTAACTTACCATTAACGCGTTTATACTGAAAAATCCTTTTCTATTTATGTACAGGTGTTGCAGTTCCTTTTCAGGTGCTAAAATGTGCACATGAGTGCCATCCACACAACCCAACACACCTGGAAATCCACTCTTATTGTAAAAATTTATTTTGATTTTATTCTGCTCTTCTTCGCTAGTGTCAAATTTGATGTGCTTGGGACAAATCTTCTGCTCGATTAAAGTAACTTCAGTTAGTATTACTGACATAGTGGGTTGGGAGATGCCAATATGGAAATCATTCCCTTGGCATTTTTGATAACTCCCTTCCGCAAAGAAACGGAGCACTGCGCAGAGTTTAAAAATTGGAGGTACCGCAGTTGATCGACAGCTGCTTTTTAAATGAGGGGATAGTTCCTCCAACAAATATACAAATGCTTCCTTTGATATCCGAAAATTGCTTACGAACCTGGAGATATAAATTTTTTAAAGAAATATGTACATGACGATTTTTTTAACTTACTTAACAACTGGTAGATACAAAGGATTGGAGCGATCCCTTATGTGACGCCGTATTAGAGCAACGTTTGCACACTCTTCCCGAGTTGCGAAAAATAACTCATAGCTGCTGATCATTCTGCTTTCTTTATTTTTATAAATATAAATATTTCCCGGTTGTGACGATTTTTTATTTGTTTACATAAATTGTCAAACACATTGGAGCAAAGTTGCCAATTACTTCGAAATGTACATGTCAAAAAAGCAAACTCAGGGATGTTTTCTGCGTTTTTCTGTATACTGAGATTAATCGCTATACGTAATACAAAGTACGATACTGGTAGCCACGGCTACTAGACCGTCAACTAGACACCAGTCGCCATACATAATAGGGCCATAAGCTCATATAAGTCGACCTTCGGAGGAACGGAATGCCCCTCATATCGTACTTTTAAATGAGCTCATTGTGGGCGTAATGGCTCCGCAATAGGACTCCTTAAAGACTAATTTTTGACTCCAAATGTTTGCTGGGATATGTATATTCCAACAAAAGCTTTCTTTTTTTTATTTTTAATTTTAGGGACTTTTAATTTTAGGGACAATTGGTGTGCTTCGCTAGCAACTAGTCCCAAAGCCAACAAGAAACGTGTATTAAATGCACGTTTCCGCCCCTTTTTCCTGATTTAAACATTTCTTGTGAATACATTCTTTCTCTTGGCACAGTATTATGTATTAATTTGCTATGCCGCTGTCGGCCGAGGGCCCGTGGCCTGCGGACTCACTCAGGATCATAACCCTCACAATGTCAAATTCTCGCAATATATGTTATATACCCTTAAAATAAGTTCAAAACGTTTTTGCCGGGGTGAGGAGTCGCTATTCTGCACTTATGCAAAAAAACTAAGCAAGTCAATTACTTACACTTCCACTTCACAATCATTTTATTTTTTATTTCGCTACTTACTTTTTGAATGCTATGAGCTATCCAAAAATGTTATCTCTTCAAACGAGAACAATGACGGCAGTTACATTTGCGGCATCGCATCCCGAACGTTTTCTGCCCTCCACCTTTCTTTTTTTCCGTAAGGTATGTGCTCCTCAATGACTTCAACCTCCTTCTCACGCAGTCCTCCGTCATATTGCATTGATTTGCGATTTCTTCCAGTGCCTAATGTGTTAGTATTAAATTAAATAACATATATTATAGCGAGTTAAACTATTGATGCTACCTCCTTCTTCAAGTCGTTGCGACGATAAGAAAAACAGTTCATATCCCACAATACTTCCCGTTCGCGGTACAACCAAATTATTTTCAGAATTTTATCCTGCTTCTTTTCTTTGTCTATTATGTTGTCTCCAAATTATATGTTTTATTAACAATATATTGCCAAAAATGTAACTAATTTTAATAAAACTTACCAAAATCTTCTAATTTTTAGTTCTTTGTGGTAATTTGCATATGCTTTTTGTTTGGTGCTTCCTCTTATTTTCTCGAAACGTCAAAATTAATCACCCCTAGGCTGTAATCCGACGTAGATTCGATTTTGCTACGAATCTTAAAATTGGTATGCTGTAATCCGCGTTGCCGTATCGTAATTTCGAAATTCGGAGACCATTTTCGAAATTCGTAATGTTAGTATGCCTGAATCCGACGTAGCTGTAATTTGTATGTATTTGTCGGAAATTTTCTACGAAGAGCAACTGGTGTCGGAGCGAAGCGAATTCTTTTAAAATATCAATAAAATAAAGTGTGTAAAGGAAAAAATATGTAAGTTAAAGTGTGAATGGAAAAAAATGGATTATTGTTAAATATTTACAAAATTATCAGGTCGAAGATCACAACGAATCGGTCGCAATACGAAAAAATGGTAGAATGCATGACCGAAAGGCCGGACATTGCTCGCGGCTTTGCAAAAGGAGCTAAAGAGGATGTAGTGGAGTTTTGGGAAAGCGTCGCTCAGCAGCTAAACAGCTTAGGCCCACCGACAAAAGATGTATCCAGCTGGAAAAAGGTGCGGATAAAATTTTAAGAGCACAAAATTTATTTATCATTGTTTTCCTTATATCAATACTATTTCTAGGTATGGCTCGATTATAAGTGCTACATTAAAAGAAAGCTTTCCGCCAATAAAGCAGAGACAAGGGCAACTGGTGGTGGACCCAACAGAATGCACAATTTCAATGAGTTGGAGGAAAAAGTGATAGAGTTGACGGTCTTGCACACTTCCACATCGGGGATCAATGGAGCTGTCTCTTTTGGTGTGGTAACAACACAGACGGTTACCCAACCGGTGGTGGAACCTGCGGCAGTCATTCCTATGCCAACTGAGCCAGACAATGCCAATGTTCAGAGGCGTTCCCCTCCGGTAAAAAAAACGACACGGCCACCTTGGTACAGGAGCAAATAAATTTGCAACGAAGCTACTACCAAAAAAGTTTGGCCTTTTTGGAACGCCAGGCTTACTCTGCAAACGAGCTGGCAGATATTGCGACGCATGTACCAAATACAAGAAAACATGCATGACATGAAGAAGGAAAAATTGCGTGAATTAAAGAGGCACAATATTTAAATGGAGGCCCTTAAAAGAAGGGAGCTTGATTTGCAGGAAAAATTGCTGCGGATACAAGAAAGAAGCCAGCAAAAATGAACTAATGGATACATTTTTTTTAAGATTTCTTTATTTTTGAATTTAATTTAATTTTGCACTGAACTGCTGATTTTTTAATTTTTTTTTTATTTAAAGATTATTGGATTTAAGACTATTCGATAGATTTAAGAATATAACTGAACTAAAGCAGTGAACTAACGTTTGTGATATCTGTATATATGTATAAACTATTAGATTTAAGAAAAGAACTGAACTAAAGAAATGAACTAACGCTTGTGATATATGTATAAACCTGCTATATTTAAGAAAAAAACTTAACTTAAGAGATGAACTAACGCTTGTGTTAACTGTATATATGTACAAACTATTAGATTTAAGAAAACAACTGATTTTTTTGTATATTTAGTTTTATGTAAAGAACTGAATTTATTTAAAATTTTTTATATCAAATAAATATGAAGTACAAAGTTATGGGATTGTTTTCATTAGTTAGGTAATGATCTCAAAATTCGCATTCCTATGTCTGACGCTTCTCTGGAAAATTCTGATGGCGCTTCCTCTTCATTTACATCTTGATATTCATCATCCATAATATTAGGTGTATTATCGTCTACGTTGTAGTGGATGCACATGTTATGCAATGCGCATACCACATTAATTATTTGTACCACTTTTTGGGGCGAATAATGTAGTTGGCGAGGACTTAGCAGGCATCGAAATCTATTTTTCAAAACGCCGATGACTCTCTCGACTATGTTGCGCGCTTTACTGTGGGTTTTATTGAAGGCGCTTTCTCTACTTCCTGCCACAGGAGAATGGAATGGTGTAATTACCCTGCAGGGAAAGCTACCAGTTGTGAACCAGAATGCTACCAGTTTGCGATTCAGCCCAACTAGTTCACGTTGTATCCTTTTTCAATGATAGCGACTGGTATTTTTAACATGGCGGTGTCATAGGAGATGTCAATTGTCCGCTCCTGCATCAGCACGCTACCAGTAGAGATACTAGTAGCATCATACCAGTTGACGGGATAGACTGCCTATTCATCCCCCGTGAAAAGCATAAGTATGCCATTTTGCTCGCGGCGCTGCAACAGTGGCAATGGTCGACAGAGTAAAGCTTTGGCATGCCAAATCAAGAGATCCGAGTTCGAATCTCAGTGGGCGAATGTTTTTTTATTTTTTCTTTTTTTTTATTTGTTTATTTTTTTATTTATATCTCTTATGTAATTTTTAAATTTATTGTTTTAAAAAGAACAAAAAATTATTATGGTACAAGCTCAATAAAAATATTAAAAAAAAAATTATTTATTTTAATTTTTTTATGGTATATGAGTATTTAGGTTTTTTCCAAATCAAATTAAATTTGTGTACAATTTTTATTTTATATTTAAATTGAAATAATTATTTAAATTAATTTACTTACTTTACTTTAACAACCTCCACGCGCACTCGAACCTGAGATTTCAGGACCAGAATCGGTAGTCTTCACTCGACGCCACAGCCGACATTTGTGATGAAAGCAATTAACCACGTTTTAGTTTTGGGTATGCCTATTCAAAGACAGATGTCGCTGATCGCATAAGTTGTACGAAATCGCCGAAATGGTAGGCCGTCGCTTTAGCACATACTGGTTAGTGAACTAGTATTTATACTGGCT